GCCCACCACTATGCCTGGCTATTTTTTGGTTGCAGCTGTCATTATTGTTTGGCGGGCCTGGGCTGGATTCGAACCCACCACCTTAGGTGTACGTGGCTAGCGCCTTAGCCACTTGAGCCACAGGCGCCAAGCCAGTTTTGTGACTTTTAATCTGTCATTTTTCTACTCTGAGTTCCTTTATCAATAAACTGTGGAGATAAACAGGTCAGGGAGAGATATGCATGAACACAAAATCTAGGTCTTAGGGTTAGCATGGGAATGGAATGAGGCATGGGCTAGATCTTGGGGTTGGGGGAGGATAAGGCCACTCCATTACTTTCCCCAGCTTCTTCCATAGTGCCTCATCTAACCCCATGTATAAAAGGCTATGGGGCAACACAGCAGGGCAGGGAATGTGCCGACAGGCAAGGACACTGCAGCAACTGACCTGGAGGAAGAGCAGAGCTCCACCCCCCCACCCCACCCCCAGCTCCTGACCCTTGTCCAGGGGGAAAATTAAAAATTTACCTTCCATAGAAGATACATGACCTACCCCACCCCCATACCATTTTCATGGAGGCAGAAGCTGAAGCCAGCCAGCTTACCCCAGCCACTGGGCAGTGCCCTGCTGCTGCCGTGACCTCTAAGACAGGTAGCCTGTGTGTCCTCAGACCAGTGCCTTAGACCAACTGTCCTCAAACTACCGCTGCGGGCCACATGCAGCCCACCTGGGACATTAATCCAGCCTGCCAGGTGTTCTTGCCGCCGCTGCCTGTCCTGCTTAGCAGCTGACTCGTCCCGGGGGCCAGCAGTCCAGCCCCCCCAACGGTCTGAGAGACAGTGAACTGGCCCCCTATTTAAAAAGTTTGAGGACCCCTGCTAGACTCTGGGTGTCTGCCACTAGGAGGGCTTATATGCAGTCTGGAGGGGATGGTGCCGGCTTGTCAGCTCGACCTCCCCTCAGGAAGTTCCAGTCCTAACGGGAGTAAGGGGCTGGTAGAGGCAGTGTTCCAAGCAGAGGGAAAGCCTGGCCAGGTCCCCAAGCATCTCCATCTCTAGGGATCCACACTCAGGCTTATAGTTCTCCAGCCGCCACCCTCCATTCTCATGGGCACTGGAAAGGGGTTTCAGAGAAGCAGCTGGAGCGGTGGCTTAAGTCAGGCCTCCCCAGCCCCATGCCCCCTCTTTGGGAAAGGATAGATGAGACCCTCCCCCGATCCCACCCCCTCTCGAGACCGCAGTGCCCTCCAAGGTCTTTCCCACCCCAAGACTGGCTCCTGCACACTGGGCGACCGCCATTGCCGCGCACCGGCGCTGCCGAGGGTCCCACCCTGCACGCTGGTCTGGCCCTCACCGGCCTCATGGCAGGGACCAGGGCATCCTGCACCAGGCTCCTCCCCGCGGGGCCGGGCCTTATAAGGGGAAAGCTGGGCCCCTCGGTCTGTCCTTGCACCCTAGGGTCAGGAGGATTTGGGTACACAGGCTGCTGCTTCTGGCCTGGCCCCAGCACATTGCTGAGGACTGGGCAGGGGGCTGCACAGAATGGGGGCGCCTGGGGCCGCGCACACCACGTGCCTCTCTACCGTTAGCCAGGATGCCCTCCGCTTCTGTCCTGGGTTCGGGTTCTGGCTCCGACACTCACTAGCTAGATGACCTGGGGAAGCTGCTTGGGTTCTCCGAACTTTGGTTTCCTCTCTCTGTAGGACAGACATTAAAGCACGTGGTAGCGGGGTTTTCCTGTCTGGCTCGCCCCCTAGGCGCCTAGCCCGGGGCTGGCTGGACAGGCGTAAGGAGGAGGGGGGCGGGGGCAGTGGGTGCCCCGTGGATCTGGTCGCTCTGGAGCCTGTAGGCCCTCAGCGCCCCCTGGTGAGGCTTTGCTCTACTGCTGGCGAGTCACCTGAGGAAGCTAGAAATGGGAAACTCTTCCAGAGGCCCCTCCATTGTGCTGGTGGGGAGATTGAGGCTCACAGAGACATCAGGGCCTGCTTGAAGTCCCCAGCAGCGACAGCAGAATTGTACCCAGTGGCCCAGCGCCCCCCACCCCTCACCCCCGGAGGAGGAAGCACCCTCTTTCCTCCCAGGAGAGTTTCACTGGGCAGTTTAGGAAACCACCCCATCCCTCTCCTCTTCCCCCTAAGAGGACAATGGTACTTTGTACTTCCTTCCCTCCCTCCCACAGCCCCTTCCTTATACAGCAGTGGCGCCTGAGAGGGCAGGAACAGCAGGACACACAGCAGGGACACTGTGGTCCCTTTGCTTCCACACCCACAGGGAAGGGTCATGCCAGAGGGTGACCAGTGGAATGAGGTTGCCAGCCCCCAGCCTTGCCCCACCCATTTCAGGGTGATCAGAGGGAGGTTCCCACTTCCCAGATGCAGGACGCTGAAGCTCCCAGGAGCTGCCTTCCAGAGGTGGCCAAGTTCCTACATCAGACTTTTTTCAGGGACAAGGATCTCATCTCTGGAGCCCAGAGCATTAGTTATGGGGACACAGGAGACAAAGTGCTAATCATTGCACATTTGGGCTTCTTTACCTCTACACAGGAGGGGCTGGACCAGCTGTCCCCTAATCTCCGAATGTATCACAGGAGGTTTGGGGCCTGAGGCCAGGCCTTCAGGTTAGGAAAGTGAGCCTCATTCTCCCTTACTCTGCTATAAAAGTTTTCCATGGGCCTCAGGGCATCTCTAGTCCAGGCTAGTGGGGTCCCCAA